ATGTGACCGGCAGGAGCCAATAAGAGCAGGAGCCGGGGAGGCCCTCATGGAAAGGGGAAGAAGGAAGGAGGTGGAGGACGGATGTCGGGAGTCGTTCACGTCAGAAGAAAACGAGATGTAAAGATGTAAAATGGAAGTCAAAGAGCTATTTTTGGGCGGCAGATTTTTGGAACTCCAAGTAAATGTTTTCCCTCGGGGGCGAGGCGGCGTTGCCAACTTGGCTGATTCACGGACTGCTCGCCCATCGCATGACTGCAAGTTGTTTGTAAAATTTGACATCAACCCACTCCCCGCACGCTCCAAAGCGGATCATAGCCTGACACATTCTTTCAGGAGGATGACACCACTCCACGCCCAGACACAAACTTGTTTGTTGCTTTTTTTTTTTTGTCTCTCTCAAATAGAATTTCATCCACTCGTTCACCAACAAAAAAAAAAAAGTGTGATAATCACCTTCAACTCTTTAGTTAAAATGTTCTTGAATCCACTAATAGATCAGGGTGGCATATTTACGAGCTCCTTGTGACTGTAATTATAATTTTACAAGCCGCTCCGTGCGCTTCAGCTCAAGTTTCGCATTAAGGCATGTTAAGCAGATGTAAAACCGAGACATGAACACGTTGAGTGTGTTCTGTGCGCCGTCCGTGCAGCTGCTCACCTGTCCCGAGTACAGGGGACGGATCTCGTAGCAGGTGGGGGGGGGGGTGTCATGGCGAGGCTCCTGTTACGCGCTTGCACATTTTACAGGCAAGCTTCCAAGTGAGGCAATAAAATAATCACATGCTTGTAAATTAAAAGGTCACGGCAGAAGGGCAGCATCAGAAGTGCAAGTCATAGCAACCTCAAATGGTTTTAGTGTCGTTTTGGGGCTGTTGCCACGCTACCGGGAAGACAATGTTCCCATCGTCTGAAGATAAGAGAGTTGCACACACTGCGGCGCGAGATACCATTAAAACTCCAGGATGCTTCCTGGGCCTCGTTTCTGTAGTTGGTAGATCTGGTAATAAGATGCCGTTCCCTTTCACACGCAGTGAAGGCAACCGTGGATGATTTTGCACAGCAGTGAGATAACATTGCTTGTGACACGACAAGTATGATGACAAAAAAAAAAAAGAGACTTGTTTTTAAACAATACAGCACAGCGCACACATACTGTAATATTCCCTTCTCAAAACAGAGGCACCCCTTTTACGATTGGCTGATTCCCCGCTTGAGCAAGGTGTGTGAAAGGGGCTATTGCCATATCCCAACCGTGCCGGCTGCAGGGGTACGCTTTTCAAAGGTCCGTTTGCTGATTGGTTGACAAAGTTGCCTACCAATGTAATGATTCAAAGGGCATGAAGAAGAAAGCAACATGCTTCGGCTATAGGTATTCTCTCTCGATGGCACAGGTGTCAAACTCAAAGCCCAGGGGCCAGATCTGGCCCGTCACATCATTTTATGTGGTCCGTGAAAGCAAATCAAACAGGTCAACTTCCACGACGCTTGCTAAAATCTCGACCAAAATTTAAAATTCGCATATGTAAGCATTTTCTTGTAACCAAACCCATGACATTAACTTCAACAAAAGTGGAGTAAAACGTTTTTCTTGACTTCTTCTTTATGGTTTCAGTCATAACGGCCCTCCAAGGGAAACTGTCACGAAAATCTGGGCCGCGACAAAAATTAGTTTCACACCCCTGCTCTATGGGATGGTGTGGTAATGGCGTGACACTAATTTTCTGTGAAGCCGGTGATCCGGCTTTTGCATTCTGGTCTTCACGTCCTGATGTGGAAACGCAAGCCTCAACGGGGTATACTGTACAGCACGGGTGTCAAACTCAAGGCCCGTGGGCCAGATGTGGCCCGCCACATCATTTTAAGGGGCCCGCGAAAGCAAATCAAAGATGACGACTTCCATGATACTTGCTAAAATATGTACCAAATCTTCAAATTTTCACATGTAATAAATCAGTGATATATTGTCAGCATTTTGTTGTTACCAAACCCGTCATTAGAGTTACTTCAACAATAGTTGAACAGAACGTTATTCTTGACTTCTTTATGTAGTTTCAGTCATCACGGCTCTCCAAGGGAAAAGGTTCAGTCAAGAAACAAGATCTTTACCCAATGTATCCTTGAGGTTCTTGACAATGGAAGCCTTCCTGGCACTGTTTTTCCTTTCCACATAGTTGGACGGCACAAAGCCCGTTTTGTTGGTGGCGTTCCGGACCCTCCACCAGGACTTGGAGTCGTCGAGAAGCCAGAGGCGCTCGTTCTTCTTGATGTCAAGCTCCTGGTCCTGCTGGGCCATGTAATCAAACTTGGCGATGACAATCACCTCTTCCGTCATCTTGCACAACGTGACCTGGGGAAGAGGACGAGGAGGAGCGGTCAGTATTTTTGAATGATTAGCTCATAAGGCAGAAGTTCGGACTAAATGACAAACTCCTACACGCAGTTTCAAAATGTCACCAATACTTTTTTTTTTTTTTTGAATCACAGCTCAAGTTTGTGGTGGGGGGGGGGGGGGGCTGACAATGCAGTCAGACACCAATGGGGCGAACTTGTGCATTTCTATATGTCAATGAGTCATTCGACATTCAAATAAATCAACACAGGTTTAATGTCAAGCCTGTTTGGGGAAGAAGAAGAAAACAAACAGAGAAACAATGACACTCAGTGAGGAAATCTTGCCAACAGAATCTGGACAAAAACGGACTGTGATGGTTCCCAAAGAAAAAAGGTTTGTTGGAAGGCGACAGCCATGTAATGTGGCTTGATTCATTTGGGATGTGTCTGATGTTACAGGCAGAAATTGCAAGATTTGTCCAAATACAATAAGAGTCCTGAAGAACAGAATCACAGCTAGTTGCCAGCTCCTCGAGCCAAAGCTTGTACTCTCCAGATCTTAATTCTCTGGGCATAACGTGTTGTTCAAACAAATGATTTATAAGTGACTATTGTTTGCAACTGTAAACATAAAACGCTGCCAAAAGAAATCCATCAGAACTGACATTTTCTGATATTTAGGGAGAGGATTACATTCCCTAAGGAAACACCGAACGATTGGCCACTGTTTTGCATTAAAAAAAAAAAAAAAGTACAGTGGTACCTCTACTTACGAAATTAATTGGTTCTGGAAGAAATTTCTTCAGTCAAAAATTTTGTAAATTGAGATGCGTTTTCCATGTAAATGCCCTAATTCGTTCCAAGCCCCCCCCAAAATTCAAACATAAATGTTTCCTAACGCTTAAAAATGCATCAAAATATGTAACAAATACAGAGATTATTGCCCAATAAATGAGAGTTGTGCATAATGTAAAATAAAGAATAGAGTGAAAAATAAAAATGATGGTCATTTAACTTTTAACTGCTTCCTCATCATTTTTTTGCCCTCTTTAGTTCATGTTCTCTCTCAGAAGTGGTTTTTGCCTGGCATTTTGTCAAGAACTGATCCAAGGACGTTTGCTTTTGTCGGCTTTTCACAATCCTTTGAAAATGTCCAAGGCAAACATCAACATAGTGAGCGATCGCCCGACTGGTGAACACTTTCTGGGTGATTCACATTTACGTAAAACTATCAGAACGCTTCATGGCCCGAGGGGCGAATGACGAGAACGCTGCATAAACACATTCTATCTACACACAAAGACACCTGCGGTAGAGGTCCCTCTTAGCCAATGGGATGCCAGGAAGATGCTCGGTAGTAGCCAATGGCAGAGCAGCTATTTAAGTATGTTGCGTTTGGGAAACTTGGACCTGCGAGCAGCAGCCCGAACTGTATTTTTACCTTTCGTATCTTGAAATTTGTTTCGTCACCAGAGGCAAGATTTTCCTGTTGAGGAGTTTCGTAACTTGAAAATTTCGTATGAAGAGATGTTCGTAAGTAGGAGGTACCACTGTACTTCAGACTCAAACTGAAGCAGTGTGGATGATCATTTCTGCCAACAGTCGATCCACATGAGCAATTTCTCTCTCACTCTAAAACGAACATTTGACTTTTGCTTTCTTGAAGTGACTAAAGTCGTGTTTGTGGGTCAAGGCTTGCTTCATTAGGGCAGGGATGTTGCTCATCACAAGAACAGCAACACTCCCCGGGGCATTCGACAAGTGTGTCATTACGAGCCTCTTAAAAACAAAGAGCAGCATTCAACCACTGGTCTTATGACAAATTCCGCCATCAGCTCTGCGCCACGCTGCGCTAATGTGAAGTATTTGGGAAGGACGGACAAGCGCGAGGAAGCATCCAAGCGGCTGTTGGCTGCTCCAATATCTTGCGCGAGATGGTCGCTGGTTCTACCTTTAACCTCCGGATTAGACACTGACCTCATTGATCGGGAGCTCTCGGTTTGGTTTTCATTTGAGCCACTGGTGCTGGGGTCTCGGTTTCAACTGCAGCTGGCGCTGGGACCGGACCACAATTTGATCCTTGGCAAACACGTGGACCTAAATGAATTTTCGGCGTGATTCAGCCACAAGTGGTATTATAAATAAATAATCACAACGTAGCGGTTGATTGTGTTCCTCAAGATCTATAGGAGGTGTTGAGGCATTCATCATTGGCCTGGGATAGCCAAAAGATCCCAGTCTACTACGAGTCTACTAAATTCAAACTATACAGCACCGTGCAAAGCCGACAGACGTTTTAAGTACAGCTTGCACCCAAAATCCCCATTCGCTATTCATGTTGATGCCAGCGAATGACGATGAAATTAATTTGCGTCTTGCTTTTTCAGAAGAGAGGCATCCTCGTCCAACAAATGAGAAATCCCATTTGATCAAATTGGTAAACGGAGCGCGATTGTATCGTGTTTTGTCTACACCATACTGTGTAGACAATATGAAGCTTTCCAAAGCTTCACATTCACTCATTTGAAAACATATCTATTGAACAGGACAACTGGATAGGCTCCAGCACTCCCGCAACCCGTGCGAGGATAAGCGGATGCGAAAATGGATAGATGGATGAGTGTGACCCAACAGTTGCGGCAACGTCCGAAATCGTTTTTTCCTTTTGATTTTAAAATAGCTTCCTTTTACTGCAAAATATGCACGCCTTGTGTTTTTCAAACAAATATTTACATTAAGACTTTAATACTGTGTCAGCGTTTGTTAGCGATACAAATTCAGAAAGGAACTCATCAAAAATCGAGGACCCCCCCTGTAGATTCCAACCATGCTCTGCTTTTACCAGATTTAAAGGAAAGGGACATTTATCATCCTCTTAGAGAGCGGAGGGGATTGTCGCCAATGTTGTACTTTATTTCGCCTAATGTGATACTTATCTTCTGACAACATCCTTTCATGTCATTTTTCTTCGGAGTGATACATAATTCAATATCGGACCAAATTTCTACATCGCCACCTCAATCTTACTTCAGTCACCGAGGCCCCTGGTGCACGGGGTGGCTGAGTGCTAACTGCACATTAACTCTGCAGTGACTTCCAGCCGTGCAGATGTAAGGGAGGATCCAAAAAAAAAAAAAAAAAAAACGGCGACAGATGCTGCAAGCTAATCGCTCAGCTGCCCAGTGAGCCAAGGCCGCCTCCCAAGCCAAAGCCCTAAAACACGAGGGCAGACGGGTCAAACTACTCTAACGGTGTCACATCCACAGTCCATTTGCCACACACACACACACACACACACACACACACACACACACACACACACACACACACACACACACACACACACACACTCTGAACAAGAATCAAGCCCCCCCCCCCTCAGGCTTGTTTGGACTAATCTACCTGAGTATTCCGAGATGCAACTTTCTTGAAGAAAAGACACTCTGAGCTAGGACCTTTTTCCTTTCCACCTTTTTGTTTTTCCATCTCTAAATAATAAGTCTGAAATTAGGTCAACTGAATTTGTGCAAGACCACCCCCTTTTGGACAACTTCCTGCAGGGAAACTTGTAAAAGCTGCCGTGTGAGGTTGTATTTATTCAGAACGGCATGCTGGTGAGTGGAAACCAGGATTTGCCGGGTATGAAGGGCAGTGCTCCTGACTTGGGAGGCAGAGGCACAAGGGAATTGATGCCCTAAGTCAGTGGTCCGAGTCAAATAACCTTGGACTTCGGACAAAAAAATAGGTAATTATATAGGTATGCTGCTGGAAAAGCAGAGACTCTGAAAATAACACCGAAAAGAATGTCAAGTAAAAACAGGATTTGCGGGCCTGTTTTGTGGTCAAGGTCAACGTGGGCGGCCAAGACCACATGCGATGGCAGACAGGTGGTCAAGTGTGGCGGCAAATGAGGGGTTTTCCGTCGCTCAGCGCGGCTCTCATTTGTCACTTTCAATCTGGAAAGTTAGGCCGTGACAAAGACAAACAAATCAAAGTGGCATCCCTGTTTCTTTTCACAAGTGCCGCTAAATCACCGCTTCGTGTTCCCAAAGAAAAGCTCGTCGTCCAAAAGGAACATCCGGTACCACTGAAAATGAAGCACCAAGTCTGAAAATGTGGCTGACTTAACCAGGAAAACTGAGTCACTGTCCCATAAACTCAGTTACATTTTGTCGCAAAAAGTTAAAAAAAAAACACCAATGATTATTAAGCGTTTCAACACACATTTCAGTGAGCAAAAATATGATTATCATATGTCTCGGCGAGATTACCCTAATCCACAGGTGTCAAACTCAAGGCCCGGGGGCAGATCTGGCCCACCACATCATTTTATGTGGCCCGAGAAAGCAAATCAAACACGGCAACTTTCATGATGCTTGCTAAAATCTCAACATTTTAAATTTTCATATGTAATAAATAAGAGACATATTGTAAGCATTTTCTTGTAATGAAACCCCTCAATAAAGTAACTTGAACAATAGTTGAATAAACCGTTATGATTGACTTTTCTAATTTGGTTTCAGTCATAATGGCCCTCCAAGGGCAACCGGTAACTAAAATGTGGCCCACGACAAAAAATGAGTTTGACACCCCTGCCCGAATCGATTATCTCTTGGCGGGGGATGTTCGATGGGTGAACTTTCCTCCTCAATCTGATCGGAAAACAACCGAAGATGACAATTATAAATGGATCGCAAAATTCTTATGCCCCGCCAAGCCTCGGACGTTGTACCAGTGAGGTGAAACACAACGATAGCATTTTAAAACTGTATCCAAGCAAGTCGAGTAGACCCCCATGTATACTCATGGTTCCATACATGCAGATTCGCATAGTCACAGATAGTTTTGCGATATTTGTAACCGTTTTCTCCCCATGCCCGCGTGGGTTTTCTCCGGGCACTCCGGTTTCCTCCCATATTCCAAAAACATGCAGGGTAGGTTAATTGGAGGAGCCTAAAGTGTCGCGAGGTGTGATTGTGAATGCAGATGGTTGTGGGTGCCCTGCGATTGGGTGGC